ATAATAATAATACTTACTTTATGAGCAGCTGCCAGGGGAGAGGAGGAAGCGCTGAGAAGCCTCATGGAGACTTCCAGATGCTGTGGAGGAAGGAAGAAATTGGGCACCATAATCGGCTCGGATCTGAGGAACAGAATTAAGGAACAGAACAGGCGGGGTGGATGGTCCTCGACTTACGACGCTTCATTTAGTGAGTGTTTGAAGTTACTGGGGCTCTGTAACTTTGCTAAGGAGGATAGAAGGAAGGGGAGGAGGGAGGGAGAGAAGGAAGGGAGGGCGGAAGGAAGGAAGGAAGGGAGGAGCGAACCTGATGGCGCAGGGTTTACAATGCAACAGGCTGATTCCATCCCACCGCCAGCAGTTCGATCCTGACCAGCTGAAGGCTGACCCAGCCTTCCATCCTTCCCTTCAAGGTCATTAAACCGAGGGTCTAGATTTTGGGGAGCAAGAGGCTGACTCTGTAAACCACTCAGAGAGGGCTGTAAAGCACCGTGAAGTGGTATATAAGTCTAAGGGCCAGCGCTATTGCTAAGAACAAGATGGCTGAAAATCTCTGTTAGCCAAGTCGGGCTATTTCCCACGTTGTCTCCAAATGCGGAGCGTATAAATTTACTAAATAAATTGATACAACCTAGAGCTGGCACTTGTCTAGAATGACTACGACCGGTATCAGACCGCCAGGGTGATATAGTGGTGAAGGCGCTTGGCTAGAAACCAGGAGATGGTGAGTTCTAGTCCCGCCTTAGGCATGAAAACTGGCTAGGTGACTTTCAGTCCAATCACCAGGAGACGGTGAGTTCTAATCCCGCCTTAGGCATGAAAACTGGCTGGGTGACTTTGGGCCAATCACCAGGAGATGGTGAGTTCTAGTCCTGCCTTAGGCATGAAAGCCAGCTGGCTGGGTGACTTTGGGCCAATCACCAGGAGATGGTGAGTTCTAGTCCCGCCTTAGGCATGAAAGCCAGCTGGGCGACTTTGGGCCAATCACCAGGAGACGGGGAGTTCTAGTCCTGTCTTAAGTACAAGCCAGCTAGGTGACTTTGGACCAGTCCTTCTCTATCAGCCCAACCCACCTCACAGGGTTGTTGTTGTGAGGAAAATAGGAGGAGGAAGGAGTATTAAGTATATTTGCTGTCTAGAACTCTTTATAAACATAAAGAGGCAAGGAATAAAAACATACAAGCAAATACATTTTCCTCATTATCTTCTACTTGATCTGATCTGTGGATGCCAAACAATTTAATCTGGGTGACTTTTCCTGAAGGGCTTTTGCTCTGTCAAGGAATGATGGCTTAGAGCAGAGATCTCCAAACTTGGCAACTTTTAACACTTGTGGACTTCAACTCCTGGGGACCCTGCAAGGCCTCCTGCTCCAAGAGGCTGCGCCGGCAAAGACTCCTTTCTGGCGGAGTTTGGGGGAGAGAAAGAAAGACTTCTGCGGCTTCTGCTGCTTTCCTTGCATGAAGCCCCAAGTCTCTCTCTCCCCCCGTGAGAACGGAGCTGGAGACGGTATCCTGCGATCCCAAATAAAGAACGATCGATCGGGAGGAAAATGGGGTGGGGGATTTTCCTACAGACTTTTGGGGGGGGGGTTTTCCCAGGGTCTCTGGTCCGCGGGATTTTAAATGATGAGTTTGGGGGTTCCCTGAGATCCAAAAGGTGGGCGACCCCTGGTTTAGGCTACTTGTAAACCTGTTCTTGGGTCTCCTGGGTGAGTTTGGGTGGCTGAATTCAGGACTTCCTGCCTGCAAAACTCAAGATTTTTCCTCCAAGGGTGCAGGAACTTCCTTCTGTTCTTGGAAAGAGAAGAGTTGGGATATTAGTAATCATTAAATCAAACTGATAAACTTTGTTCTTTTTTTCTTGGAAACAGCAGAGGCCAAAGGTCCAAATTTCTGAGCCCTGGAGCCTGGGCTTCTCCCCCAGACTTTGGTCCTTGCTGGCTAAGAATGCTGGGAATTGTAGTCCCGCATACCTGGCAGGTCCTACTATATACCGAGGAAGGCTGTGCGGAAGGTTTTAGGAAGGAGAAAGTGCCTCACAGCCAACAACTGTTTTATGAATGGCTACCAGCAAGGGGTACAGGTAGTCTTCGACTTATGACTGGGATTGAGCCCGCAATTACAAGTCGTGTCGGTCATTAAGTGGGTCGGCATGTGACCACAGCCAATTTTTATGACCTTTATGGCAGTGGCCGTTAAGTGAAAGCAGGGTGATATAGTGGACAACATGGATGTTAAACAAAGGCTATGGTCATTAAGTGAATCCACTGTTTACTACAGGTGTTTTTTTTTTACTATGGGTGTTTTTTTTATTTTTAAAACAGAAACCGATAGTCCTTGATTTACAACAGTTTGCTTAGTGAATGTTCGAAATTACAATGGGACTGAAAAAAGTCACTTAGGAGCAGTTCTCACACTTATGAACAGAGGTGGGATTCGGCCGGTTCTGATCGGTTCTGGACAGCTGGTAGCGGAAATTTTGAGTAGTTTGGAGAACCGGCCAATCCCGCCTCTGACTGGCCCCGCCAACCCCATCTCTTCTCTGCCTCCCATCGAGTCCCAGCTGATTGGCTGGGTCTCCTTTGGTTGCCCTGCACAGGAGAACGGAGCTGGAAAGCAGGTCAGTGGGGTGGGGAGGGAAGGGGGATTTTGCAGTAACCTTCCCCTGCCACGCCCACCAAGCCAAGCCACACCCACAGAAGGTGTAGTAAAAAAAAATCTGAATCCCACCACTGCTTACGACCGTTGCAGCCTCCCTGCGGTCACGTGATCGAAATCTGGACGCTTGGAAACTGGCATGTACTTATGACCGTTGCAGTGTCCCCATCCCTGTTGGTGACTTTCTGACAAGAACTATGGGGCCCTTGATGTTCTCTGAGCTTGACGGTTTTCTTGCAGATGTTTCATGACCCAGCTAGGGAACATCATCAATGTTAGAATGGAGGGGAGTTTGTGGGGAGGAGGAGGAGGAGGAGGAGGAGGAGGAGGAGGACTGAGTGGTCCTTAGGGCTCTCTGGGCTTGGCAGTTTTCTTGCAGGCGTTTCATGACCCAACTAGGGAACATCATCAGTGCTATGAGGAAATAAAATTTGCTGTCATTTTATATAAAGGGGCTTGCCTTGTCATTATTGGTGGGAATATTTTTAGTTATCCCTCGATTAGGCTGTCATTTGCTATTAGCTTGTGTATCTGAATTGGTGGTTCCTGAATTGGACTATTGTTTACTGTTTGTTTACTGTTTTTTTTAAAAAAATAGCTGTTTAATTTCAAGAGTGTTTTATTTGGATATAAGTACCTTGGTACTCGACTCCTTTGAAACTCGTAGAATTTGGTACTCAAATGTTAGAATGGAGGGGAGTTTGTGGCGGGGAGGAGGAGGAGGAGGAGGAGGAGGAGGAAGAAAGGAGGAGGGAGGACTGTGGGGCTTCTTGGTGGTCTCTGAGGTTGGTAGTTTTCTTGCAGACGTTTCATTACCACACTAGGTAACATCCTCAGTGCTAAATGATATTAACCAGCACTGATGATGTTCCCTGGTTTGGATCACGAAACATCTGACCCTAGAAAACAAACCAAACTCAAGAGAGCACCGAGGGGCCCCTCACAGCTTCGTCAGCTAGGACAACCTTCCTCAACCGCGGAAGAGTCGCCTCGAGGAAGAGAGCCGGTTGCGGCAGCCCCCGAGGGCCGCGCAGAAGAAGTGGAAGGAAGAGCCTTCCTCATGGACACACCCTCATCTTATTCGAAGACGAGAGGGCACTTTGCGTAGCTGAGAAGGTTGCCAAAAAAAGGATACAGTGGGATGATGGGCGCGTTGAACTCTTCCGGCGGGTCTTCGTCCTCTTCTCCGGAGGAGGCCTCGATCTCCTGCAACGGGGGCCAGAGTTGGAGATCCTCTTCTCCTTCCCCATTCGTTCCTTCTTCCTGCTGGGGGTCTCTGGGCCGGTTTCCTCTTCCTTCTGTCGCTCCTGGAGGGATCCTCCGTGCTCTCACAAAGTCTCCTCCACCGTTGTGCGTGGAGGATGCCTCTGGAGGTCCTCCTTCCTTGGCTTCCGTTGATCTTTCTTGGCCAACCTGTTGGATGTCCACCTGCCCTGCGGTGGATGGTTCTTCTTCCTCAGCTTCAAGTTGTGGCTCTTCTCCCTCAGCTTCAAGTTGTGGTTCTTCTCCCTCAGCTCCAAGTTGTGGCTCTTCTCCCTCAGCTCCAAGTTGTGGCTCTTCTCCCTCAGCTCCAAGT